TGCTGGTGGGAATGCAAGCTGGTGCAGCCACTCTGGAAAACAGTATGGAGGTTCCTCAAAAAATTAAAAATAGAACTACCCTATGACCCAGCAACTGCATTACTAAGCACTTATCCAAGGGATACAGGTGTGCTGTTTCGAAGGGGTACATGCACCCCAATTGTTTATAGCAGCACTATCAACAATAGCCAAAGTATGGAAGAAGCCCAAATGTCCATCAATGGATGAATGGATAAAGATGATATGGTGTATATACAATGGAGTATTACTCGGCAATCAAAAAGAATGAAATCTTGCCATTTGCAACTACGTGGATGGAACTAGAGGGTATTATGCTAAGCAAAATTAGTCAGTCAAAGAAAAACAACTATCATATGACTTCACTCATATGGTGACTTTACCATACAAAACAGATGAACATAAGGGAAGGGAAGGAAAAATAATATAAAAACAGGGAGGGAGACAAAACATAAGAGACTCTTAAATATGGAGAACAGACAGTTACTGGAGGGGCTGTGGGAGGGGGATGGGCTAAACGGGTAAGGGGCATTAAGGAATCTACTCCTGAAATCACTGTCACACTATATGCTAGCTAACTTGGACGTAAATTTTAAAAATTAACTAAATTTTAAAAAAAGGTCGTTAAAAATTTATGGTTTCTAATTATATTTATACTCAATTATGAAAGAATCGGGATAATAAGCAAAAATTTATTAACCAATCACTATATGCTAGGCACAGATGGGACACAGCAAAGTGCCTATTCTCTAGGAACTGCCTTGCATATATGCCAACTGCTAGAAAATAATTTTTAATACCTCAAGATGCCTCAGTTCCATCTTGTGCAAACAACCTTCATTTGGACATTTCACCACCAGAGAAAGAATCTCTCGTTTTGCAAAATTGTCAGGAAATAGTTGATTTTCCAGCAGTATTTCATTGTCAACTGGACATTTGTGACCTGCATCCCTAAAAGAAAACAAGTAAGATACATACATTTATTAGATTTAAACAAATGTTAACGTTAGAAAACACAAAATTTATGTTAACAACTTGAATAAATTTAAAAGAACTAAAAAAAAGAAAACACAACCCACAAACTTTCATTTGCCACATACACACTCTCCACTTACTATTTCCTATGGAAAATAACTGAATACCTTATATTGCATATCACCAAAATAAACTGTCTTTCGGTGGACAGTTCAACAATTGTTCTTCACTGAAATGAATACAACTAGCACCAATTCTGATTACCTATCAAAAACTATGGGATTTTAGATTTGGGGATAGATTTTAAGTAAAAAATGAGAAAAAATACTTGAATGAAATCTTATTTTGACTGGCATGAGCTGAAATGAGAGTTCAGGGTGGGAATTTTGGCAGTCTGGCAGGTTTGTCAGCAGCCGTACCGGGTACTAGTGAGACAGAGCTCGATGTGCTGCTCACGTGCTAACATGTCTACAATGTGTTGCTCGGTTACAAGTAAAAGTTAAACCAATTAGCAGTACCCCTAACCAGACCACATTTTTAGATTTACTCTGAACAATCCTCTGGCTCACAGGCAACAGAAGCTTTCCTTTATGTTCAAGGTACAAGTTAGAGAACCTCTAAGTCCTGATTCCCAGTGGTTTATTCGATCTTATGATGGAAAAGCCATCCCCAGGAAGCTTGGTCGTCTGTCACTCCCTTTTAACTTTTTGAGATGTCTCAACCTTTAACTGACAAAATGTGGCAGGTTGGGGAGGCTAGACAATCACTCAAAAATTTGTTGAGCAGCTCCTATGTATAAACCGATAGCACTAATTGCTTTGGCAGGTAAAAAACTGCTAAAAAATGGGGTCTGCTGTCAAATGTCTTAGAAGCAGTAAAGGTGAGAAGCATGGTCTTTATGGAGCCTGTCTCAGAATGCATACTGTTACTACATTATCAAATACTTTCTGACGAGCATAGAAATAGATGCTCACGGGGCGCCTGGGTGGCGCAGTCGGTTAAGCGTCCGACTTCAGCCAGGTCACGATCTCGCGGTCTGTGAGTTCGAGCCCCGCGTCGGGCTCTGGGCTGATGGCTCAGACCCTGGAGCCTGTTTCCGATTCTGTGTCTCCCTCTCTCTCTGCCCCTCCCCCGTTCATGCTGTCTCTCGCTGTCCCAAAAATAAATAAACGTTGAAAAAAAAAAAAAAAAAAGAAATAGATGCTCAGGGGCGCCTGGGTGGCTCAGCTGGTTGAGAGTCTGACTTTGGCTCAGGTCATGATCTCACAGTTTGTGAATTTGAGCACCACATTGGGCTGTCTGCTACCAGCACAGAGCCTGCCTCAGATCCCCTGCCCCCTCTCTCTCCGCCCCTCCCCTGCTCCTGCGCACATGCTCTCTCAAATTAAATAAAAACATTAAAAAAAAAAAAAAAAGGAAATAAATAGGTGCCCCAAACCTAAGTGATGGATGACTAAAAGAAAATAAGAACAATCTTACAGAGTAAACTGGAAACCACTGTCCACAACATTAGCAATCACTCCAAATGGAAATGGAATTGGACTGAGATGTATTTTGATTCCTTGAATGACCATAACAGATGAAAAATTTCAGAGCTGTTTCTTTAAGAATTTTAGAGTTAAAGCTAAGTGGTCATTTCTAACTTAGAGGGAGAGAGAAACAAAAAAAAGGCTCAGACTTCCTTTTGTGGGTTTTACTTCCTTTTCAGACCACTGTCCCACTACTTGCATGAATATTTTGCTATTAAAAAACTGCTAAAGATTCGTTACCTTCCTGGGATGCATGACACTTGGTAAATACTATACATTTCTACCTATAGGAAAATCAACAATCCATTTTTGTTACCTACATACAATATAGATAAGAATCATAATAAACAGCAACAGAAAATTGAGCCTTTAACATCATTCTCGTGTATATTCTAAACCAGTGGTTTCAACCAGGACAATTCTGTCCTCTATGGGACATTTGGCAATATCTGGAGACACTCTGGGTCTCAGAGCTAGGGAGGACGGAGATACCACAGCATCTATGAGCAGAGGCTGGGCATGCTGCTAAATCATCCTACAATAACTTCCCATGACAAAAGTTCTCTGGCCCAAATCAGAAAGTGAGGAGGATAAGAAAACCTGCCCTAAACAGACCTTAGCAATTCAATAATGGGTGACACATCTTTTTCAGAAAGTGATACAAGCCACATGTTCCCTTCTAACTTAAATTAAGCCAAGTCCCAAATATGGATGTAGTTATCCCAAATTCAAGTTTTATAGCAAAGTTAATTTAAAAGTTGAAAGAGAAAAACTTGAAGACTAGCGAATAGTCAGCTTAAGAATGATTTTACCAATATAACTAGATATTTACTGAAGAACATAAAATACCCCCACTTCTTCCAATATTTTTGCTCTGAATAGAACTCCTTAGTCACCTAGAAATATTCCCATCTACTTCTGAATTATAGTAAAATGTATCTATTTCTCAGGAGATGAACTTGAATCACCTGTGGAAATCCCATACACCTTCATTCGGTTAAAGCAACGATGATTTACTCATGTTTTACTGAGTACCTACTGTGTGTCAGCCATTGTTCTTGGTACTTAGAAAATATCAAGAAATAAAACAGATCTCAACCTCTGCTCTTAAGGAGCCTTCTTCCAGTTAAACCAGCAGACAACACACAAATTGTCTGGCATTTCAGAGGATGGAAATTGCTAAGGAAAAAAGAAAAGTAAGTAAGGGACATTGGGAGTGTGGAGGAAGGTAGGCATGCTGTGGTATAAATAGGGTCGCCAGGGTACCTATGAGAAGGTGAGATGTGAGCCACACTGGAGGAAGGGAAGGGTCAGCTAAGCAGTCAGCTGAAGTAAGAGGGCTCCAAGCAGAGAGAACAGTTAAAGCCAACTCCCCAGGGCAAGAGCACACTTGACATGTCCAAGAAATAGCAGAATGAATGGTGGAAGGAAGGGGAGCGTAGCAGAGAGGCAGTCAGCAAATGGACTGAGCCTATCATCCCAGATGACCTGATGCCATATTCTTAGCAGAGATGATATCATCCTACTTATTTTACCAGGTTTTATTTAGAACAGTCCGGAAGAAGGCAAGGGTAGAAGCAAGAGGCCTGTGATGGCTGATGGTGATTCAGCTGGCAATAGCAGTGGAGGCAATGAGAAGGAGTTCGATTTTAGGTGTATTATGAAGGTACAGCCATCAACTAATACTTCCTTAAAACTAGTGGTCATTTTATGGGTGCCTGAATCTCCCAGTCTGTTAAGCGTCTGACCCTGGATTTGGGCTAAGGTCGTGATCTCACCTGAGATTTGTGAGTTTGAGCCCCATGTCTGGCTCTGCACTGACAATGCAGAGCATGCTTGGGATTCTCTCCCTCCCTCCCTCCTGCCCCTGCTCGTGCTTGCTCTCTCTCTTTCAAATAAATAAATAGAAACTTAAAAAAATAAAAAATAAAAATACTGGTGATTTTACAGTTGTCTATAGGCACCAGGTAACACAATTTTACAGGGCTACTAAAATAACTGATCACTTAAGAGTAGCATTCCTTGTATGATTGAGACTGTCAGATTCTAGTAGCATCATCATTTAAGGTACATTTATTTTTTTTATAAGCTTTTATTTTTAAGTAATCCGTACACCCAATGTGGGGCTCAAACCCACAACCCCAAGACTGAGAGTTGCACATTCCAACTGAGCCAGCCAGGTGCCCCTAAAGTACATTTATTTTATATTATTTTCTTAGAGCATAGAGACTCACCTCCTAGTGTGCAACAGAAGTGTTTTAAGTAGAAGTAGCTGATTTACCTGTTTATTTACCTGAGGGTCAGGAGGGGACAAGACAGCAGTTACTTTTCCCACCGCAGGAGAAACTGAAATAAGAATCTAAATTTCTCCACTTGCTGTCCAGCGTTCTTTTCCCTAAGTAACTTGTTATGTGTAAGACTAGCCCCAGAAGGGCCTGTGTTCTAGGTGATAATGTTGTCTGTGCTTGACTCCGTTACAGGACACGGCTCTGACACTTACGTACCTTATTGATTTGATGATGCAAGCTCTGCAGAACCTGTGGCCGCACGGTGTCTGCACTGCCTCCCGGAGAGCCATCAGGCAGATGGGGCACTCATACTTGCTCTCCAGGGGCGGGTCAAACTCCACATCATACCCCTGGGTCTCTTCCATGAAAGAGTTGGAGAGGTTCCCCGTGCTGGCGGTTCCACTCACACTGTCATCTTTCGCCGCAGCGCTACAGGAGCTGGCCATGGCGGCACAGCAGTCACTCTCAGACTGGCTGGATCCGCAGCTGTTTTCACAGTTTAGCAGACTCATAGTAACGTAATTATCAACCGCTCTGTAGGAACAATGAGAAAAGAATGCACTAACATGTGCACACAGGCACACACGTATGCCATAGCCTACCTGTACACTTCACCTTTCGGTTGATATGCATTAGCTAAGTTAACGTTATTCACAGAAGACTTTCAAAGTTCTTTGAGTTTTGCTTCATGACTACGATTCTTATTTTAAAAATATTTTTTATATTTTTGAGAAAGACAGAGTGCGAGCAGGGGAGGGGCACACAGAGAGGGAGACACAGAATCCGAAGCAGGCTCCAGGCTCCGAGCTGTCAGCACAGAGCCCGACGTGGGGCTCGAACCCACAAACCATGAGATCATGACCTGAGCCAAAGCCAGACGCTCAACCAACGGAGCCACCCAAGCGCCCCATGACTATGATTTTATAATGAGCTAAGGAGTCCATGATCTAGAAGAAAGAGAGAATACGAAGTTAACAGAAGAGAAGCACCTCAACTGTAAAGCTTAGCTCTATCATAATTATCTACTTATATGTCTGTTTCCTGTCACTGAAGTCAAGAATTTCTATATCCTCAGTACTTAGCACAAGATCTTTCACATAATCGGTATTCATTAAGCATCTACTGAAGAACTGAATTATGCTACGGAAGTTCCTTCAAGTATCCTAAACCGAAGAGCATGGTGTGACCAGCAAGCACTGCAAGGAAGAGCACTAAACAAGGAGATCACCTGCCCTACTAGATGCGTGATTTGGGGCAACCTAACAATTTGGATCTTGGTTTCTTCTAGATTTAAAATTCTCCAAGTATTTCTAAATATTCAGTGTGGGGATTTCTATTACGTAGAAAAAATGGAATTAAAAATATATACGTGTATGTCCTTCTGCCTTCAGTCAGATCAAGTGACTGTGTCTCATTATCAATGACTGGAAAAACACGTGAGGTTTCATCTGCCTAAGGAAAACTATTGCTTTCACGGGTAGGTGGGAAACCTTTAAATTCTAAACCATTATAGTATTTATGAAGTATAAGCTAATGTCTAAAAGCAACTCACCGCCTATGTAACCAAGTCTCTGTTGTAGATAATTACACCTGAGGGAAACTGCTAACATATGCTATAGTTCTAGAAACTACTGTAAGCCTCTAGTCAATATGGTAGACAATTATCCCCCTGCCTGCTTCATTCTCCTATGAAAATCCTGGCTGCCACTATGCCAAACACTGGGTTAAGACAGTAATCCTGCATCTTTTTACGACTACAGATACCTTTTTCTTCTTCTCAAAAAGATCTACAAAGGAGGAGGCACTGTTCTGGCTAGAGAGACAGTGTGTGAAGTGATGAGAAGCTTAGGTACTGGAATTTAACGATCTGCGTTTCACTCTCTTCTCCATCATTTGATGTATGACCTGAACAAGTTAGGTAACATTCTATGCTTCAGTTTCCTCATCTATAAATGGGGATAATAACAGAATCCACCTCAGAATTACTACGGATTAAATGCATTATATGTGCAAGGCACTTGAACTGTGCCTGAAAGAATGAGTTATTATTATGTGCAGCTCTATACAGTAATTTTATTTAATAATTTTATTGTCCCCATTTTATCAAAGTGGAAACTATGGAGCATAAAAGGGTTAAGTAACTTGCTAGTAAGTTACAGGTAATACTTGAATTGTTTCCCAACATTCATAGGAAGCATCCACTGACCAATTCCCTAGCATTAAAAAAAATTCTAATATTTTATAACCAATTACTGTTAGGAATACACAGTCATGGCCTTCTCACTACGTAAGCTGCTTTATAACAATATCCTGGGCCTCATTCCATGTTTTGGTTTGGCTGCTCCTAGTTTGCAGAAGTATTTTGGTGTGTACAATAAACTTTTACCAGTTACTACTTCAGTGATTCACTGATTTTTACTTCTATTATTTCTGAACTTTTGACAAAGCACTGCCTTAATTAAATATTGTGGGATGCAACCACTTATTTTTACTGCAAAGTGAATAAATACTGAAAACGGCCTTGTCATAAATCATGGCTTACATCCATGGTATCTGGGTATATATTATAATCCAAAGAGTATACTGTTAAATATCTTAGGCAAGGGACAGGTGTAGTATGGTGATGCACAAAAATGTGCTCCTTTAAGATCAACAGGTGCTAAGGAGAAAGGTTCTAAGATAAAGAAATCAACATGGTAGGTCTCGAATCGGTCCATTTTAAGTCAATGGAAAATTCATTCATGGCGAAATACAGAACTCCTATGAAGTAAAATGATAATAAAGCAAAATACTGAGCAAGTACCTTTAATCTGCTACTAGCTTCAGAAACAGAACTATTCACCACCTCTTTAAAATCTATTCCTAAAATGCAAAGACTTGTTAAATGTCCTGCAATGACCAAGAAGTGCTGCAAAATAGTCCACCGTTATGTCTTAATTTTGAATATAAATTCAAGAGGGATTCCCCTTCCTAGGCACGAACGATTTTCCTTCTGGAGGCAAGGATTTGAACAACTTCTTTTGAAATCAAAGTAGCCCAAACTGCAAAGACCTCGCCCTTACACTTCTGAGCTACTGAGAATATAATGAATGAAGACTGACACCCTGCTCATGATAAGGGCAACCAGTGCCTGAATGAAACACACACACATTCCTTCCTTGAATCACAAAAAGGCCACCCCAACCTCAAAATCAGAAAAACCTCTTCTATCTTCCCCAGTAATCACAGGGGAGCGGATAATATGGCAGTGGTGAGATTCACAAGGCCAACATTCAGATTTTCTTTACAAGTTTTTCTCGTTTCTACGCCCGTGTAGCAAGACATTAGTAACAAGTTCTCCGGAGAAACACGCCAAGGCTATACATTCAAGCTGCTCATACTTTAGGTGCTTTCTGTTCACATTCAAGACAGTCCTAGCTCTTAACTGGAGTTCCCCTAAAACCAAATACTAGGAACAGCTTTATCAACCCCGCGTCTGGAACAATCGCTACCACTCCGAATGCAGGGGCGGGGGAGGAAACATTCGTGTCATCTGAACCTTTTTTTTTTTTTTTTTCCTTTTACTTTCTGCCTGGGATGTCTATCGAGTTCAACAGGGAACCTGAAAACAGCTTTCCCATGACAGTGACAGAAAACGGTGGGAACTTAAAAGGTCCCCCCCACCCCCCTTTTTAAAAAAGCTGGTAACAACTCGGAGGGACGGGAAAATCCAGGAGGCGATGTCCTTTTCTGGGAAGGGGAATACGCGGGGTGCAGAGAGATAGGGCTAAGGAAGGGGGCGCGGGATTTCCGTCGGAGGATGGAATGACGAGGCCCCCACAAGCAGGGGGAGCAGAGGTGAGTGGAGAGGGGGCGGCGAGGGGACAGAGAGCGGCCTCCCCTACCTCTGGGGAGCGAGGGGACAAAGGGCGGCCTCCCTAACCTCGGGTAAGCAAGAGGATAGGGCGCGGCGACCCCAACCAGTGAGAAACGGGAGAGGGGGCGGCGTCGGCAACCTCTGGGAAGAGAGGCCGCGGCCACTGGGAGGAGACGTCCGAGAAAGACTCACCGCTCCCGTCCGCTGGGCCGCCGACTCCACCCGGCCGCACGACTCCGCTCCGCCAAGACTCCTCACTCCGAGCTGAGACTGGCTGCACGCTAATCTCTCCACCCGAAGGCCTCTTCGGCCGCGACCCCGGGCCGCCCGGAGCCCCAGCCCCAGCCGCGGACGCCCCTACTTCCGCCTTCTCTGCTTGCCCTGGGCAGCGAGGGGCGGGGATCGGGCGGGGGCGGGGACAGAGCGGCCGAGCCGGGGTGGGGCTCCCCCTGGCGGCGGTCCTCCACGGGCGCGCTGGCTTCGGCGCAGGTGCGGGGCAGGGCCAGCTGTGGATCTCGTGCACTCCGCCTGGGATTCCTTTGCCGCTTGGATAGGTATCCATCTGGGAATTCCTTGCACCGCAGTCCTGAACTGGTGTGTGTGTGGTGGTGGTGTGTTTTTATAGCTTCCCTATCCAAGCAGGAGAAAACCCCAAATGGGCTTAGATCACTTGACCTTCGGGAATTCTTAAATAGCTCCCCAGCTCCACCCTCCTTGCCAAGGAAGTTTCCAAGGTACTTAGAACCCTCTTTTATCGTCTGGTCCTTCTCCTTCAACCAGTCCGAGGGAGTCATGCCCATATATTAAACATTTCTCTGAAACTGCTGCCAATGACATCATCCTCTTTTCTGTCACTGTCATGAGAAAGCTATTTTGAATTCCCTGTTTAACTGGAAGCAAACGTCAAAGCAATGTAACAAGCACTTTGCAGGAGATAAACGATTTTCATCCACCTCTGCAAAGGTGGCTCGTGTTCATCTCTAAGGGGAGGCATTATAGGGTAGTGGTTGCACCGTTTTAAAATCACTTTTAAAGGACATGTGAGAGGGGGGAAAAAGACTACTAAGTTAGAGAGTGGTAAAAAGTGAAGACAGAAAGGCAGGTGAGGGCTAGATCAGGCAGGGTCTTGCAATCCATGCAAAGGAGATTTATAAGGAGAGAAGGGATATGATGTCATGTATGGGAATCACTCTGGCTGCTTTATGAAGAGTAAGGACAAGGACGGAAACAAGAGGAAGGGGGAAAAGAAAGATTGCAGTCATCCAGGAAAGACAGCGACTTGAACTGGTGGGTAGCAGCGGATGTGATTAGAAGTGGGCAGATTCTGGATACATTTTAGAGGGAGACAGCCATGTCATAAAACTTGCTGATTGGGTGTGAGCTGGTGATAACAAAGGACTGTGATATTTTTTTTTTTTAATTTTTTTTCAACGTTTATTTATTTTTGGGACAGAGAGAGACAGAGCACGAACGGGGGAGGGGCAGAGAGAGAGGGAGACACAGAATCGGAAACAGGCTCCAGGCTCTGAGCCATCAGCCCAGAGCCCGACGCGGGGCTCGAACTCACGGACCGCGAGATCGTGACCTGGCTGGAGTCGGACGCTTAACCGACTGCGCCACCCAGGCGCCCCAGGACTGTGATATTTTTGACGAGCAACTGAGTGGATGGGGAAGAATGAAAGAGGAGCAGGTTGGGAAAGGAAAGAATCAGGAGTTCCATGTTTGACCTGCTGAGGTGTAAATTGTTTGCTAGTATGTAATTAGAGACTTTTAGTAAGCTGTGGAAGTAAGGGCCTCTGAAGCTTGAGGGAGAGATCAGATCTGGAGTTGTAAATTTTTGAGCAACCACCACATAAAGTGTTTTGAATCACCTGAATGATATCATCTAGGGCGACCATATTTAGGGAAGAGATGCAATCTGCTATCTGCAATGTGGGTAGAGGCACCTTACAGTCAGATTCTTTCTCACGCCAGAAGCAGGAAGAGCAAGAAAGTAGATAGATTAACCTTTGATAAAATTACAGATCAAGAATGAATCAATCAATCAGAAGAAGAATTAGATGAGATGGAACCTAGAAAAAGGTCAGAGATCCAGCGTGGCATTTCCCATGTACGTTCTATTTGGGGGGAGGAGGTGCCCTGGGTCCAATCTCCCCCTAGCTGTCCATTTTCAAAGGCAGGAATTTTGGAAATGGCCTGATGTCATTAATCGTTGAGTTGTAGAGGCAGTTACCTATTGAACGGTTTCATGATTGCTAACAGTGGCTAAACAAAGCCAAAGGAGCATATGAAGGAATGTTATCCAACAGAAGATTCCGGCCTTGGAATATACTTTGAGTATAAGTTTCAGGATAATCCCATCATTTCTCCCTTCTTGCTCCTCCCACCCCCATTCCACCAAAATAAGGGAAAGTTCTCATAACAAGGTTGGGAGTAAGTAGTGAGGAGTGAGGGTAGGTCGTGGGGAGCACAGAGGGAAGTGAGTGAGGTGTGTGGACAGGTAGATGTGTATGGGAAGGCTTCTGGAGAAACTTCAGACACTAATAACAGGCTCTGGGGCTGTGCACTTGGCTCAGTCTACTGTCCAGGTTGAGAGCAGACTCTGAGCCACTAGGAGACAGAAGTTTAATTTTGAACCTGCCTTCAATTAGAAGTTCCCAAAATTGTCTATGGCAGGGACACCTGGCTGGCTCATTCACAGCAATATGAGACCCTTGGTCCCAGGATTTCTGATTTAAGCCCCACATTGGGTGTAGAGATTACTAAGAAAAACAAATTTTAAAAAGTCATTATGGCAATGAGTTTTCTTTGGTAAAGCCAGTCTACTAGCAGGGACGAAAAATACTTGCCCTTCTTCTCTACCCTCTTCCCAAATCCCAGGCCAGAACCCAGACATTTTGTGGGTACGCTCATTTTTTTCTACTCTTGGGGAGAGGAGGGGATCTCCTTTTTTTTTTTTTTTTATTCATTTGGGAGAGCGGGAAATGATGGGTGAGTGTCCAATGCATTAGGACAAGTTTTTTCCTTGTTCAAGCAACAATTTCCATTGTTCAAGCAATGTTGAGATGATAAGTTGACCCAATTTATTGCTTTCCTTGAGGGAAAGAATGTACCAGCCAGAGGAGGTCAGTATCTGATCTATTTGTGAGTTGTATTTTCAATGTAAATGAATTGCTTTTGTCTGATGTTTAGATTTGTTTGCCATGAGCTGAGTTAATGTGCAGGCACTCTGGGTGGAAAAAATCAGTTTTTGAACTGACAGCTGAGAGTCAGGTTAATTCATCAAGATAAATGATACCTTATGGCTTCTCTTGGTACATTCTCTCTGGACACATTTTTAAAAATTACTATTAAGAAACATCATCCAAAACTTGAAATAAAGCAGAAGGAGGGCTACATGTCCTTTCAGTGTCATTTTTAAACATGTTTGCCTAATAACTCTTTATCTACATCAGAGAATTTGCCTATGTTTGACTTTGCTGTTTATTATTTGATTAGAAACCAGATAGACACTGGTTTCCAGAAACCAGATTTCTGTCCAGTTAAAAAAGGTAACCCCAGGGGCGCCTGGGTGGCTCAGTCAGTCGAGCGTCCGACTTGGGCTCAGGTCATGATCTCACAGTTCTTGGGTTTGAGCCTCACATCAGGCTCTGGGCTGACAGCTTGGAACCTGGAGCCTGCTTTGGGTTCTGTATCTCCCTCTTTTTCTGCCTCTCTCCTGTTCACACACACTCTCTCTCTCAAAAATAAGTAAACATTAAAAAAATTATCAAAAAAAAGTAACTCCAGAGGTTAATGCACAATAGGATGTTAACCAATTTTGTATCAAGTAAGCAGGCGAATTCATTTCAGCCTTCCTTTGACCAACTGTATAAAATCTCTGCTTCTCTAAGTCTTCTTTGCACCAGCTTTATTGTCTTAACTATTCTTTCATTAATAGTTTGAATAAAATCTTAGACATGTGTTCCTTCTATATTTATATGGTAATCTGGTGTTTAACTTTCTGAAAAGTCTACTTTAATGTTATAACATTCCTACTCAACCCTGCTTCTTTCCAATGTTTACAAATGGAATAAATTGCTCAGATTTTTGCATGTTTGATGGTTAATCTTTTGAATCGGATGAGGTTGGACCTCTTAGGACATGAGGATTCGTAAAAAACAAAACAAAACAAGACTTTAATCATGGCAATGTAACACAAAACCAAAAATGTATATATTAGATTTTGGTTTATCCATAAATTGGAACACGTGGAGACTTACCATTTAGGAAGTTTCTGAGCTCAAAAGCCTGATTTGTGTATGTTCCCACTGGATGCTGGGTATGGAGATTCTCACACCAGCACTGGAGAGCAGAGTATCTGACACAGGACAATAGCAAGTGTCCTGAATTGTGGTTTGAGCTTGCTTGTTAGGAAGAAGAGGAAAATATTTCCAGTGTTCCTGATTAGAATTTATAATATAATTTTCCCAAAAGGCAATTAAATAAGTAATGATTAGTTTCATTGAATTGCCCACAATGTAGTTGAAATAATGTCTTTTATACAACAGAATTATTTTCAGTAATTGTATCTTTTCATTGCAAACTATTTCAGATACAATATGAGTCAAATAGTCTTTTGTGGGGCAGACTGGGAAACTAGTCCCAATTTATAGCATTGTTTTTATAGAAAATATGTATTTTGTTCCAAATAACTAAATAAAAATGCTTTGGGGAGAATATACAGTTCTTTCATAGATTGGGAACAGCCTACAATGAGGTTTATTACAATGATAAAATTAAGCGAATTAAAAGCTGCTTTACTAAAAGGGAATGAAGAGGAAGTGTGTGTGTGTGTGTGTGTGTGTGTGTGTGTGTATGCGTGGGTGTGTTTGGTTAATGCGATCACACCTTTTAGTTTCTTATCACACAAAGTAGGACATTTCCAGGTTCCTGAGGCTTTTGCCTATCTTTGCTTTTTTCATATGGTGCTGTTGTTAATACGTTGTGATAGTTACAAACAACATGATTTTCAGTTTCAAATTAAACTTTCAGCCACCAAAATTTCACCCACCAAAATACCATACTTTCACCCCAATTTCTGCAAAACCAGAACGGATTCTTTCTGGATTTTCTAAGTAGAACATTTCATTAACAAATAATGAGACTGACCACTTCCTTATAACAAAGTCATTTTCATGTTCTGAATGACAGCTAATACTCCACTGCTTTTCTGAAGGAGATTCAGTAGGGGTGCAGCATTCTAATAATTATGGTGAATTAACGATACTCTTTGAAGATTTGATGCATGCACACTGGAAGATTTCCAAAATTTTTTGAGGGTGGTGGCGATGGTAAATTTTTCTTAAGG